GGTGGCAAAGGGGCAGAACTGTTATACTGCCACTTGAAAAGGAAGCCTTGGGGGCTGGTCCCATTTACTCCAAAATGAAGCAAGGCCCTGACAACTTCAGTCTTCCCTTACCTGCCTGCCTGCCTTGTTATATCCAGTTGGAGCAGCTCCGCCTGGCATGAAGGACCACGGAGTCATTTTGGACTCACAGCTGTCCATGAAAGCGCAGGACAATTCTGTGTCCAGGGCAGTTGTACCATCTGCATCTTGTCCACAGGCTGAGACCCTACCTGCCCACGGACTGTCTCGCCAGAGTGGTGCATGCTCTAGTTATCTCCCGCTTGGACTACTGCAATGCACTCTACGTGGAGCTACCTTTGAAGGTGACCCGGAAACTGCAACTAATCCAGAATGCAGCAGCTAGACTGAAAGTGGCCGCTGAGACCATATAACACCAGCCCTGAAAGACCTACATTGGCGTGAAGTACGTTTCTGAGCACAATTCAAAGTGTTGGTGCTGACCCTTAAATCCCTAAACAGCCTCAGCCCAGTACACCTGAAGGAGCATCTCCACCCCCCATGTTCAGCACTGAGGTCCAATGCCGAGGGCCTTCTGGTGATTCCCTCACTGCAAGAAGCAAAGTTACAGGGAACCAGACAGAGGGCCTTCTCGGCAGTGGCGCCCACCCCGTGGAACACCCTCCCATCAGATGTCAAGGAAATAAACAACTATCTGACTTTTAGAAGACTTCTGAAGGCAACCCTATATCGGGAAATTTTTAATGCCTAATGTTTTACCATTCTGTGTGTGTTGTAAACCGCCCAGAGTAGCTAGGGGAACCCAGCCAGCTGGGTGGGGTATAAATAATAAGGTGTTGTTAATGCTGTTGCTGCTGCTGCTGCTGCTGCTGCTGCTGTTGTTGTTATGTCACTGGCTCTAGCTTCACTGAGTGACTTGTTAGAATTCCTGCTCCATGACTGCAGTCATGGGATTGTTGTCTTTCACATGACGGTATATGTTTTGACTCCACAGAGTGGGAAGTGATGGAGACAGGATGCTTGTGTTACTGTGTTCCGCGAAGTGGGACTATTGTCCTTTGTTCTTTCTCTCTTTGCTGTCTGACGCTAGAGAGAGAGGGAGCCATGTTGCAGTGCTCCGTGTGTGTTTATATGTAAATAAAGTAGTTTAGCCAAAATGCTGAGTTGCTGAGGTCTGTCACGCATGATGCGCAAACTCTGCGGATCCCGGCACTGTGTGCTGGCGTTGGCTGGCGTCGCTGTGATGTTTGGGCTGAAGAAAGCTTTTGAAGCTCCTGAACGAAAGACCAGGAGGGAGAGAACATGCCAGTCAGGCATGTGTCTCTACCAGGGTCCTACTCAAGTGTAGGCTGAGCTCCCAGCATTCTGTCCTACCATTCCCCAGCTGCCAGTGGGAGGAAATGCCCAAAGAGATTTTTTGCCTGTGTCTTGCTCGGGAGAAGCAGCTGAGCTGCCCCAAGAAAGGGGAGACCTTTAGGGTTGAGGGCTGTGCTGAGGTCAACTGCAAAGCCCTGGAAGCCACAAGGCTTCTGTCTAATATTAATGTGTGTGTATATGTATATATTCACAACCCCTGTTTAAAAGAGTCGCCACGGTCTCCAGGGGTTGAGGAATGCAAGTTCCCAGTTGCCTAGCAATGCTTGGCGACGGGTGGGGTGTGGGGGGTGTTCAGGAGCAACTCTCTCTATTTGTTCTCCAGCGCAATTAGGGAGAGGGGGCTCTTTTCCCCCTTCTGCTCAAGCCTTGACTTATTCAAGGCAAAGCTGCCATGGAGACTGTCTCTTGCTTGGCAGCTAACGTCAACGCAAGCAGACAGAATCCATGGCATCCTTGGAAAGGTTTCTCGAGAGGGGGAATCAATCCCACCAGAGCGTTTAGACCACGCCAATCCCACCTCCCAGAAAGCTGCCAAGTTGAGAATGGCACCCAACCCAACCCCGCCACCCACTTCGGGTTACAGGAGGTCTGTGGCCAGGATCCCTTGTGTGCCTTTTTGGAATCAAAGAAGATGCCAGGAGGGCAGTTCTGAATCAGGGTTGTGGCGCTGAGAGAGAAGGGCACTTACCCTTTTTCTACACACACCATTTCCCCAACTGAACTCCCTTCTACTAAAGCTGCCATTTGCCCTGCAGGGAAAAACAAAATAGGATTCATGGGTACTTGTATGTTTCCCCCTGCAGATCAAACAACAACTTTATTGAAGCTTAAACTTTCAGAAATCATTATATAGGGTGGAATTCAACGCCATGCTATTAGGAACATTTCAGCCCACCAGACAGTATGACACCCCCCCGTCCACCTGTATGCTGTTCTGGGGTTCCTCTTGACCCCCTCCTTGAGCCAATTTGGAGGGGGGAGATATGGATTGAATAAGTGCAAGTCCTTGCACAGGCTTCTGCTGACAGAGCTTCTTGGGTCAATCCCAACTATAGCATATTAATTATCAATACATTAGTATGCAATATATCCTATGGATATTATAGAATTGTAGCAAACATCCTATATACAAAGGACAAACTCAGTTCTCTGAATATGGATCCTTATAGAAGCAAAATGGAATGCCATCCCCCCACAGACAGGATATATTAATAGGCTTGGGCATGCCAAAAGGCCTGAGGTGCAACAATATTTAGGAAAGTAAGTCCTAAGTTTGTGTAAACACTTTAAAGCAGCTCCATGAGGACTGTCCATGCTGCCCATTGGAGGATAGGCAAAGGAGAAATGAGGGGACTGAAGAGCTGTGGCTGACTGGACCCCTGATCAGGAACATTTTGGAGGGGATGTTTGTGTGTGTAAAATACTCCTTCCCTCCCTTATGAAGCTGGCTGTGCTGTCTCCAAAGCCTTCCAAGAGTTGAGTGCATTAGATGAAGGTTACCAGATTTTTTTTCAATGAATCCGGGGACACTTCTCAACTTCCTACTAAATAGATGGAATTTGTCAGGGAACTGATTTGCAAATCCGGGGACTGTCCCCAGGAAACGGGGACATCTGGTAACCTTGTATTAGATCAGATCAGAACTCAAATCCATCCAGCCTGGGAAACATTTTGCATTTTTTTGTTCATTTGTTTCAAAATGGGAGCATAGGGCACCAGAACATTCTGCGCACCTGACCTCGCAATGCAAAAAGGGGCAGATTCAATCCTTGGCATCTCCAGGTAGGGCTAAGAAATCCCTGGAGAGCCCCTGCCAGTCAGTGCAGACAACATATACCAAGCTAGCTGGCCCAAGGGTTGGATTCAGTAGAAGGCAGCTTCTGGTGCTCTTAGAAAGCTGTGGATGGAGCTTCAAATTCACCCTCAGGATGCTGTCCAGCTGCCATATTTTTGGCACAGCTTTCTTCGAGATCATTGACCCCAGATTGAGTGCAGACAGAGAAGACTGGGTGGGGAGATGCGAACAAGAGTTGCATTTTGATGTGATGTCCACATTGGTCAAGAAGTTCATCGAACTGTAGAGTTGGGAAGACTCCAAACGGTCAAACCTCCTGCGATGCTGCAGGTTATCATCTGAAAACAAGGAGTTGTCCTCCAGTGACTTCTTGCTCCCTCCAGCCTTGCTATCACCATTATTAAAATTTATTGCATGCTTTTCTACTCGAAATGCAAGGCATCACACAATAAAATCAGGTAAGTACGCAGGAAGCTGCCTTAAACCAAGTCAGACCATTGGCTCATCCAAGTCACTATTATCAACACTGACTGCCACAGCCACTCCAGGTTTTGGGGCAGCCCTGCCTGAATTTGACCAGGAATGAACAGGGGATAATTTGCATGTAAGGCATGTGCTGTACAAAAAGTAGAACTTAACAATCCAAATACTAAATAAACATATTGTGGCTCCGTAGCAACAGTGATATCAAGCAAAGCCAGATGGCCCACGCTGGTGAAAGAACTCTCTCCCATACAAACAGTCAAGTTGGAATTACTGTATTTTTCGCTCCATAAGACGCACTGTATTTTTCGCTCCATAAGACACACTTTTTTCTTCCTAAAAAGGAAGGGGGAATGTCTGTGCGTCTTATGGAGTGAATGTGTGGTCCCTGGAGCCGAATTGCCCAGGGGCAAAAAGCAGATCATGCTTTTTTCTTTTAAGAGGAAAGTGGGTGTTGGAACAAAGCCGCTGATCGTTTGCTGATCGGGGAGAGAGATAAGGGACGCTAGAGATAAAGGAAGCTGCCTGGGAGGTGGGAGGTAAAGACAGCAAACTTGCAAAGGGGGGAAACAGGAAGACTGTTTCTGTATCATGATATCAGTTTCATAGTTTTTAACCTGGCAATATATTGCGAATCATGAGGTGTGTATGTACGTGCTATGCAAAAATCACAATGTGGGGAAAATCATGAATTGTTTCTACATAGCTCCAGCCTCAGTTCAGACTGTGATATACAGTACTTTTTTCTAGAAAAAGAGGTGCCAGAACTCAACATGAACACCTCCCTTGTTCTCTTATAACGGCAATGGTGCCCACCTGAGAGGTGCCAGAACTGAGTTCCAACGAGTTCCAGCTGGGGAAAAAAAGCCCTGGTGATATATCAATATATCACAATGTTTAGCTGGTGATATATCACAATGTTGAAAACCAGGTATCACCCAGCTCTAGTGCAGTTGTACCTTGGAAGCCAAACGCCTTGGCACTTGTAAGTTTTGGCTCCCAAACGCCACAAACCTGGAAGTGAGTGTTCCGGTTTGCAAACGTTCTTTGGAACCCAAATGTCCGGTGTGGTTTCCGCGCTTCCGATTGGCTGCAGGAGCTTCCTGCAGCCAATCGGAAGCCACGCCTTGGTTTCCAAACATTTTGGAAGTTGAAGGGACTTCCGGAACGGATTCCATTCGACTTCCGAGGTACGACTGTACTGAGAAGGCCCTGCTCCAAGCCGCCAACAAATCTCACCTCTGGAAAGGAGGGGACTAAGAGCCCATTTCCCTGCCATTCTCAGAGGATGGAGAGAAACAGCCTGTGACCTCGGTCATGTACTTACTCCCACTCCTTCCGCCTCGCCTGCGGCGTGCTCTGCATCTTGTGGGCTTCGTGCGCCTTGATGATATCTCGCTGTTCAATCAGGCCCCCTCGCCGGCGCTTGATGACTTCTGGGCTCACGGGAATGAGTTGGCTCTGCCCCACGTCCAACGTGCTGCCGCCCTCCAACCCCAAACTGGATTCCCTCTCCTGGGAGCGCAGTTCGTAGAGGCCGTCGAAGCTGGTGGTGCGCGAGACGAGCGTGTCCGTCAAGGTCTCTGGCTCCAGCAGGCTGCAGGACTGAGCGGGCTGCATCAAACCCAGCCGGTGCTTCCGCCATGCTTCTTCCTCCGGCAGGGCCAGCATGCACCTCTGCGAGTCGCTGTCCAGTTCAGGGCTGCCGCCAGGAGGGTAAGAGCCTGATTCGGGGAGCATGTGAGCGCTGAGAGAGCATGTGCCAAGGCTGAACATCATGGACGCCGCTGCAGAACATCACTCTAGGGACAAGGAACAGAAGGGCAAGAAAAGTTACCAGCAGGCTTCTTTCTGGGACCTGTTTTGAGGGGGGGGTGATTCAGGTTGCAGAACTGGAAGTGGACGCTGCCCTCTTTATAAATTGTGTCCCTCAAAAAATATCAACACAAAGCAGAAAAATAACCAAGGATCAAGGCCCTGTTGGGTTGAAATGCCACAGTCATTACCCAGCTCCTCTAGTAGGGTCATATGAATTGTTCTCTAGCCTGCAAGGGTTAGGAGAGGACATACATAGGTTCAGGAACAAACACACCCACTCCATTCCACAAATGTAGTTGGGCACAGAATTTGTATCCCATGTCCCATGTTTTGCATGCAAAAGAGGTCAAGTTCAACCCCTGCATGCTCTAGTTGTCTCCTGCTTGGACTACTGCAATGCGTTATACGTGGGGCTACCTTTGAAAGTGACCAGGAAACTGCAATTAATCCAGAAGGCGGCAGCTAGACTGATGACTGGAAGTGGCTGCCGAGACCATATAACACCATTCCTGAAAGACCTACATTGGCTCCCAGTACATTTCTGCAAGTTTCAACTCAGAAAGCAGTATTCAGTCATCAGTACTACACAAACCAAAAGGAATGATTGTGAAAATAAGAAATAGGGGCACAGGGCAGATTTTGTCCTCACTCAGCGCACCACATCACCAAAATCTGCCCCTGCCCCATTTGGGCAAGCAAGAAGTATTATCAATGAGAATGTCATATGCAGTGGTACCTCGGGTTACATGCGCTTCAGGTTACAGACTCCGCTAACCCAGAAATAGTACCTCAGGTTAAGAACTTTGCTTCAGGATGAGAACAGAAATCATGCAGCGGCAGCAGGAGGCCCCATTAGCTAAAGTGGTGCTTCAGATTAAGAACAGTTTCAGGTTAAGAACAGACCTCTGGAACAAATTAAGTACTTAACCCGAGGTACCACTGTATTATAGAGCAAGTTGCTCCCTTGTGGGACTATGTATGGCTCCTTCAAGTCAACAGCACCTGCAGCTTTTGCTCCTCCAATTAAGTTATCTGGAGGAAAGCTGTCTACCAAGAGAGAGGAATAAACAGATTATGTCACACCAACCTCCTTCTTTCCGGGTTCAGTGAATTTGTGAAGGGACTATGTGGCCTGGATCACACCTTCTTCCCACCAGAACCACACAAAACACCTCTGTACATCCCGCTGTATGTTTTCTGCACCTGATGAATGGCAGGATTTCCCAACTCTCTGAGAGAGGTGACCCAGTGAGTTCAATAGCCTTTTCTAACAAGGATTTGGGGTGGGAGGGGGGAGAAAATGGATCTGTGGGAGCTGAACTGAATCTTATCAGATGTGTTTTTGTGCTTAAGTGAGCTTCAGTTCCGTGGGTGAGACAGGAGTTTCGCAAGGCAGAGCCACAGAACGACGATAGGCAGGGAGAATAATCTGTACACAACACAATCCAAATATGGGTCAAGCAAAAGTGTGGATAAGCCCTAGTTTAGGTCCATTAAACATAGCTGGATACAGCTTATCATCATCATCACCACCGTTAATAAGTCATAAGGTGATTAGCATGTCATCTTCCAATTATCAGAAATGACAAAAATTTAGTTGGGGGAGGCAAAGGATGGGGCCGCAGACCCCCTGGGTGCGTTCCACAGACCCCTAATTGTGAACCAATGATCTAGTTCAACCCCTTGCAGTGCAGGAATATGCTGCTGCCCCATATGGGTATCGAACCTGCAACCAACAATCTAAGCAGTTGAGCTACCCTTCCCCCATGCTTCCATAGACAGCCCCACCACTGGTGGGGTCCTCTGTTGGTGCAAAACCTTTATTTTTTTAAAAAAATAGCACCCTACAATAAAGAGTTCCAGCACTGAGCATATAAATTCAGTGTGATGACGTGGTCAGTTAAATCAGGCGACCTGGAACAAAACTTTCCTAACATTTCCCAGTGATAGTTGCTTACTCCCTTACAGTGGTGCCTCGCAAGACGAAATTAATTCGTTCCGCAAGTCTCTTCGTCTTGCGGTTTTTTCGTCTTGCGATGCACGGTTTCCCATAGGAATGCATTGAAAATCAATTAATGCGTTCCTAGGGAAACCGCCTTCAGACCAGGTCCGGGGACAGTCTGTCCCCGGACCTCTTCTGAAGGCTGGGGGGGGGGGACAAGGGCTTTTCTTCCCACCCCCGGCATTTTAAAAAACCCTGGGACAGCGGAGGACTTCTCCGCTGTCCGGGGCGATCTTAAAATGCTGGCGGGCGGCATTTTAAAATCGCCCCGGACAGCAGAGGACTTCTCCGCTGTCCGGGGCGATTTAAAAGCCCCTGGGAAGGCAGGCAGGGGGGACAAAGACTTTCGCCCCCTGCCCGCCTTCAGAAGGTGTCCCCGCCCCCCTCCCCCCTTCGGAACAGCTTTCCGAAGTGGGGTGGCTGGGGCAGATGTCCCCGCCCCCCCTCCCCGCTTCGGAACAGCTTTCCGAAGTGGGGCGGCTGGGGCAGGTGTCCCCGCCCCCCGCCCCACTTCGGAACAGCTTTCCGAAGTGGGGCGGCTGGGGCAGGTGTCCCCGCCCCCCCTCCCCACTTCGGAACAGCTTTCCGAAGTGGGGCGGCTGGGGCAGGTGTCCCCGCCCCCCCCGCCCCACTTCGGAACAGCTTTCCGAAGTGGGGTGGCTGGGGCAGGTGTCCCCGCCCCCCCCGCCCCACTTCGGAACAGCTTTCCGAAGTGGGGCGGCTGGGGCAGGTTTCCCCGCCCCCCTCCCCACTTCGGAACAGCTTTCCGAAGTGGGGCGGCTGGGGCAGATGTCCCCGCCCCCCCTCCCCGCTTCGGAACAGCTTTCCGAAGTGGGGCGGCTGGGGCAGGTGTCCCCACCCCCACCCCTTCGGAACAGCGTTTTAAAATGCTGGGGGTCGGGAGCGAAGCGCTGCCGACCCCCACCTCCCCGTGTCCCGGGAAGATTTTAAAATGCTGGGGGTCGGCAGCGCTTCGCTCCCGACCCCCAGCATTTTAAAACCTTCCCGGGACACGGGGAGATTTTAAAATGCTGGGGGTCGGCAGCGAACGCTTCGCTCCCGACCCCCAGCATTTTAAAATCTCCCCGGGACAGGGGGAGATTTTAAAATGCTGGGGGTCAGCAGCTAACGCTTCGCTCCCGACCCCCAGCATTTTTAAAATCTCCCCGGGACAGAGACTTCTCTGCTGTCCCTTGGAGATTTTAAAATGCTGGGGGTCGGCAGCGAACGCTTCGCTCCCGCCCGCCAGCATTTTAAGATCGCCCCGGGCAGGCGGGGGGAAGGCAGGCGGGGGGAGCAAAGACTTTTGCCTCCCGCCGGCCTTCAGAAGAGGTCCTCTTCTGAAGGCCGGCTGTGGGCGAAAGTCTTTGCTCCCGACCGCCAGCATTTCCCTATGGGCTTTCGTCTTGCGATGCAAGCCCATAGGGAAATTCGTCTTGCGAAGCGCCTCCAAAACAGAAAACCCTTTCGTCTTGCGGGTTTTCCGTCTTGCGAGGCATTCGTCTTGCGGGGTACCACTGTACTGGTGCCTCTCTGCTCACTGACACAAACGTTGAAAGGTGCAAGATGGTATCTCAAGCAGTAGGTGGTGCTGTACCTCAAGATACAAAACTCTCCCCATTACCTGCAGCGTTTGTTTTGGTTCTTGTGTATTGTGGGATCTCATTCCCCCACCTGAGCACATTTGCAAGGCCAACACTGTTAATTGAGTCAGCAAGTTTCGGAAGGAAGTGGGACAGAATGACTCTTTGTGGCATTTGAGTAGATTTTTAATGCAATGGAGTAAGGAGCAAGGAGCATGAATCTAGCAGGACTCCTCTGAGCAATAAAGAAGCTTTCCACCAAAGGAAGCCATGGAACTAAGCCAGATCAGCCATAGGGTCCAAACTAGCTCCTCTGCATGAAGACCAGAAGGCTCCTGGTTCTAGTCCCAGGTGGTGTCTGCAGGTGGGTGGAATGCAGTCCAGGAATTCCCTGGCAGGCAACACAATGCAGGAAAGGTTACTTAGAAGTTTGAGGGTGCTGGGTGCTGCCATAGTCTGTTTCCCAAAGTGTAGAGATGGGCCGTACAGCCCCAAAGGCCTCACAACCTTTTTGGTAGAATGAAATGTCACCGCTCTCAGGAGCCTCATCAGCTAACTTGACATCCCACCCCTGTTCATCTTTCAGACATCCAGTCTGCACATTTTAGCATGTGGAATCAGGAGTCATTGTAAACAAGGGTGGCTCCTAACTTCACCCAAAAGCACAAGGGGAACAAAACCCAAAGGATAACGCTGATATGCCAGTCTCACTGTCACCACTTTTACTGTCTATTAGGTAATGTCTAGGGATGCTCCACTGGTGAGGAAGGAAGCGTATCGTACTGATGTCCCTTTGCAGCATCTTCATCATGAAAAAGCTCATTCAGAGGCTCACCCTCCCTTCTTCCCCAAAGCAACCACTGGGAGCAGAGGGAGGAATAAGGGAGGTGGTCAACCCACAATTTGAGCAGTGCCATTTTTAACTCCCCCTTAATCCTGCTGTTGCGACATGGGTGGCGCTGTGGGTTAAACCACAGAGCCTAGGACTTGCCAATCAGAAGGTCAGCGGTTCGAATCCCCGCAACGGGGTGAGCTCCTGTTGCTCAGTCCCTCCTCCTGACAACCTAGCAGTTCGAAAGCACGTCAAAGTGCAAGTAGATAAATAGGTACCACTCTGGTGGGAAAGTAAACGGCGTTTCTGTGTGCTGGTCTGGTTCATCAGAAGCGGCTTAGTCATGCTGGCCACATGACCCGGAAGCTGTACGCCGGCTCCCTCGGCCAATAAAGCGAGATGAGCGCCGCAATCCCAGAGTCGGTCACGACTGGACCTAATGGTCAGGGGTCCCTTTACCCTTCACCTAATCCTGCTGCATTACCAGCCACAAAGTAGTACACTTTAGCACGGTGGTGGTGGGGTGTTATTGTTTCAAGCATGGTTCCACAGGGCTAGCCAGGTCCC